TTAAACATGTAGGAACCTAACAAAGGGACATGCCTTCTGAGATGTTACATGAAATCTCAATTGGCTCCCCATTTCCCAACCTTCTTTGATATGCAAAAGAAAAGGAAGTAAAAACATAATTGGAAGATCTCTTAGACATAATCTTAAATAAATTTATTATTTATGCCACCAATATTATGTTATTATGTTCGCACAAATCCTTGCACCACTTGAGATTTCCTACTCTCGGGTGGGAATTGATCAAGCTATTTATAATGTAATCTGCATTTGATTTGATTCAGCTCCCAAAAGGAACACATCAGTGGTCAAGCTTTCTTACACCGGAAGAGCTCGTCCTAATTTTAGGGCAAGCTGGAATCGATGTAAGTGGAATCTGTTCTCGCTCTCATATATGTTCCGAATCATTGCAGACATTGATAAACTCAGTACTTTTATGTGAAATTTGTTAACGTGAAAGAGATGGCTGGGTTTCCTCTACGACCCATTGAGGAGAAGATGGTTCCTATCCGATGATCTTAGCGTCACTTCATCGCTTTTGGCACAAAACACTAGCGGGGAAAACAACGATAGCCATCTTCCGGAATAGGTAGATTCTTCGAAATTTTCCGTGACAGGTTCCAATTCTTCTGGGTAGGGAGAAAACATGTGAGAATTTTTGCATGAAGTGTTAATTTTAGTTTTAAAGTTACAAATAGGAAATTTTTTATCTTTTGAACGAGTAAATTCTGCTTGTTCATGTAGTTAAACAGAGCCTATGCTTGATTCAGATGAGCTGAATAAGGAATATCAATTCAAGTATAAAGTTGAAAATTAAATGCATTACAAGTTTTATTTTCATTATTAAAAAATAGTAAAATCATATATTATTAAATGGATATTGAATTTTTTTAAATTAATCAAATAAAATTAAAAAAATAAAAATAAGATTATATTTTTATATACCAAATACAACCTATAAGTTTTAAATATAATTTATTTAATTTAATATAAATATTAATAATAAGAAAACAAAAACAGTACATATATATATATATGAACTGAAAAACCGAAGAGCTAAAGAAAAAAGAAACCGCCCCGGTCTGACCCGGCCCATGAGGAAATTAAGTTCGGATAAATGCGCTATTGAGCACTCCGAGAGTAATTCAATTTGACACGCACAATATTCCTCTTTTCACCGACTCTCTTCGAGTACGAAATATCATATACTCGCTCTCTTCTGTTGACACGATAGCTTTCCAAGGCCTTTAAGCAATGTGGCGAATCGGTCGAGACTTTTATCCGATCAAATTTGATCGATTACTCAACCATCCCCCACAGTGGGGCCCACACCGCTGCTTAAAAGAAGATGATGATGATGATGATGATGACGTCCAAATTGGGATTCACAATTTCTAATTTTATTTTTATAAATTATTATATATATTTAAAATTTCTGATAATTTTTTTTCTTTTATTGAATATTTTAGTTTTAATTAAATATTCAATTTTTAAGATCATTTCCAGTAAAATATTTGTTTTTTTTTACTGAATCTAATATAAAACATTATTAATTTAATTGAATATAATTTTAAAAATAAGTTATAGCAAAATTTTAAATTTTATTAATAATAAAATATTTTATATCTTATTATATAATTTTGTATTTAATTTTACTATTAATATAAATAAATTTCACTTTCTCTGTAAAATTCACCATAATTGAAGTATACACGATTTTGATTATTTATACGCTCCGGCCTCTCCATTTTCCATGTTTCTCTGAGATCTTTTCAGATACTTCCAATTTTGTTCTAGTGAAGAAGATAATCAAGCAACGCAATTTCAAGAATGGAGATGTCGACCAAGGTTAAGGGTCGTTTGGCCGTACTTTCAGCTCATTTGGCAGCGGTCGTCGATTCGAGTGCGGTGAGCCAGAATTCGCAAATTATTGAGCCATGGTGCACTTCGGCTCATGTTATGGCCTCACCTCACGGCTCCCTCAAGGGAACGTTAGCCGTCGTTGACGAGAGGACTGGAAAGAAGTACCAGCTCCCTGTTTCTGAGGATGGCACCGTTAAGGCTGTTGATTTGAAGAAGGTATCATTTCTAAAGAAGCTGAATCTTGTGGAAACTGTTTCCAATTTATTATGATTGATTCATTTTTAGTAGGTTTGATTTATTTATTCCTCTCTCTCTCTCTCTCTCTCTCTCTCTCTCTCTCTCTCGCTCTCTCGTTATTTTGAAATTGAAGGATTGAGGTTGATTGAATCGAGCATCATGTTATCAGTTTGAGTTTGTTGCTGCTATAGGTGTTTTACTTTTGATAAAGGCGTTGGCCTTTTTCCTTTTAGGAAACGTGATTATGAATTACTGGTAGTTTTTCATTTGGTTCTGCCCGTGTACAGTTTATCGGAGACACGACTGTTTTTATATTGTTCCAATTCGTAGCTGTTAATTTTTGATAATGGAATTGCACTTGTGTGTTGCAGATAACAACAGGAAAGAATGACAAAGGGCTAAAAGTTTATGATCCAGGCTATTTGAACACGGCTCCTGTTCGATCATCGATTTCTTATATTGATGGGGATGAGGGAATCCTCAGATACAGAGGTTATCCAATTGAGGAGTTGGCTGAAAGGAGTTCTTTTCTCGAGGTGGCATACCTCTTGAGTAAGTACGAGTATCCTCATACCTAATCATGGAAGATGCGAACATTTAAATTATCCCTTTTCAGCAATTTTTTGGCCTTGGAATTTGATCTATTTTCAGAAAAGTTGGTAGAATGTTTTGCTTGTATGAATTCTATGTCCATGATGTTTCAGTTGCACAATGTTTTGAACAAATGAATTCTACAAAAAATATGGAATTCATTTGCAGATATACTTTAGATTTAGAATGTGGATAAAACTATCGATCTGAAGTAAATTGTACGTACCTTTTCTTTTGGAATTTATTAATTTCAAACTGAGCCTTAATGTCAGTACGAATGCTAATATCTGAACCATGTCAAACATCCCAAGTTTGTGGATTTACCTTCCTTTTCTTTTATGGTTGTCTGGTTGGTGCCAGATGAACCACCTTGTTGAGCTAATCTTAACTTTGAATGCCCAAAAAACAGCCCTATTGAAGAGGGCTCGAAATTTTAGACACTGATTGCTTCGTTTAGTATGATGAAAAAAGTTCCATAATATTCAACTAACTACATGGTTGTCTCCATCATTGTGATTTCCTCAATATCTTGTGATGGTAGTACTCTACTTGTAGAATACTTTCCCTGAAACCTCTGAATGCTGCAGAATGAGTAATTGTAAACTGAAGTCTTCAATTCTGCTGTGAAGGGATGGCTGGTAATTCTTCAGCACTATATAACTAATCGATGGGTTTCCAAATGTTCCAGGCCCTGTTATTTCCTTTGTTGGTTGAAAAAATTATTCAGGCCCTTGATTTACATACTTGAGAGCAGAAGAAAAAAATTCACTTCAAGGGAATTACTGGCTTAGAAAATGCTAGGGGGTTGTATATGCTAGTAGGCTGAAGATAGTTGATGTCTGGACTCACAATCAGAACTTTTTATCTTTATCATGCGATAATATTTGGTTTTCTTTTCTATTTTCTGCTCATTATAGATTAATATTTTCAAATTAAATATCGTTAATACAAGTTATGAATGTCTTAATCCTCAGTTGCACTCTTGCATCTATATTGGTTCAGTTCTTTTATATCTTTTCCTTTTCTTTCAGTGTATGGGAATTTGCCTTCAGAAAGTCAGTTATCCGACTGGGAATTTACTGTTTCTCAGCATTCAGCTGTGCCACAGGGAATACTGGTGTGGTTCTCTTACTTCTCAGAGTACTTCCAATATTTAATTTCTCTTTTCTGATTCCCATTTCGGATATATAAAACTACATTGTTTGACAACTTGAATGCATTTTTGAACGAGAAAGGGGGAATTTTGAGTTTTGATGGATGAGCTTGAAATTATCTTTTTGCATTAAGAGATAGAAATATAACTATCATCTCCACCCACCACAAATAAGAAGCTTGATGTATTCCTTCCTCATTTGAGCTGAAGTTCTTATTTCTAATTGGAACAAATCTGTGTCTCTTTTTGTAGGATATCATACAATCAATGCCTCATGATGCACACCCAATGGGTGTACTTGTGAGTGCAATGAGTGCCCTTTCGATCTTTCACCCTGATGCAAATCCTGCTCTCAGAGTAAGTTAATTGTTTAGTTGAAATGATGTGCTTTATATGTCTCCTAACATCATTGTCTTGTAAGGCCAATTTGCCAAGTACATAGTATTCTCTTTTATGCAATGCTTTATTCTGAAATTTAATTTTTATGCAAGTTCCTTCTTGTCTGTTTCAATGTTTAAGCAAAGGGAAATACTTATGTTGACATAAAATGTGCTCTTTTGGGGACTTTTAACTAGGCACCTGAATTTGGATTAGGAGTTCTGGGGCTCATGTCTTTCTAGCTCCTGTGGCTCAGGAACTATTACCTCATTTAAGATTGATAGCAATGCTTTATAGCAATGCTTCCTTTTGTTGGCTCAGGAGGATTGCTTTTCCTCTACTCTTGAACTTTTTCTCCCCAGTTTTAAGAAATATTTTCAGGATGTTTGCACCATTGGATTTGATTAACTGAAAAAGTTAATTACTAGAGGCAACTAAGACTTCAATCGGAATTTGAATTAGCAGTTCTGGGGCTCATGTCTTTCTAGCTTCTGTGAGCGCAGGAACTATTAACTCAGTTAAGATTGATAACGACGCTTCCTTTTGTTGGCTTAGGAGGATTGCTTATCCTCTACCCTTTAATCTTCTCTCCTCAATGTTTAAGTAATATTTTCAGGATGTTTGCTCCATTGGATTTAATTAACTGAAAAAATTAATTACTAGAGGCAACTGAGACTTGAATCTAATAAGTTTTCTTTCATCTTAGTGGTTATTGTTAAGTGCAAATTTCTATTTCACCTTGATGTTTGGCAAATGGAAAAAATGTACCACTATTTATTTTATATATCCTTTTTAACTCTGATTAAATATCTTTTGTTGGTGTAGGGCCAAGATCTTTATAATTCAAAACAAGTGAGAGACAAGCAAATAGTTCGCATTCTTGGGAAGGTTAGCTTGTCATGTCTCTCCTTTTTCTTTCAGTATGTCTGCTCACTCCTGCTGCTACTTTCTTTTCTTTTTGTAGTTTTTTCTGCATCAGTATCTAATGTA